GAGCTTACGCTGACTCTAGTGTGGTTTCCTGCATAGTACGCCTGGCCTTGTGTTCACTCTAGAGCAGGGATGCCCAAGCTGGGGCCCGTGGGCCACATCGGTCCCTCTGAGGGTGGCCTCATATGGCCCATGAAGCGGTGAGGACAGTGGTCAAAACCAGTCTGACAATCTTTAAGGACAGTTTAGTCATTCCTTTCGGCGCAACGCATAATTATCTTTGGCCCTCTACCCGCCAATATAGTTTTAGCCGCAGATTGAACGTTTGGCCGCCCCTGCTCTAGAGCTGAGGAGGATCAGCAGGAGAGGAGGTGGAGTGCCATCTACAGAGTTGGTGCTGTGATCCCTCCTCCTTCCAAAGATTCTGCTTTATCCGTTGCTGGGTTGTGAGGGCAACTGTCTAAACACAGACGCCCGGACCTCCCGATCCACACACACTTCCTCCAGCTCATCTAGGGGAATCCCGGGGGCTAGCTGAGAGACATAGTCCCTACAGTGTGTCTTGGGTCTTCCTCTGGGTCTCCTCCCAGTGGAACATACTCTGAACACCTCCTCAGGGAGGCGTCCAGGAGGCATCTGAAACAGATGCCCGAGCCACCTCAACTGGCTCCTCTTGACGTGTAGAAGCAGCGGCTCTACTCTGAGCTCCTGCCGAGTGACTGAGCTCCTCACCCTCTTTCTAAGGGAGGGACGCAGAGGCAACTCATTTCGACCACTTGTATCTGAGATCTCGTCCTTTCGGTCATGACCCAAATCTGGTGACCAGAGGTTTTCACGAGAAGCTCACTCGTGAACAAGACCCGGAGGTACTTGAACTACTCCACTGGAGGAAGGACCTCTGCACCTGGAGAGGCACCTTTTTCCTATCGAGCACCATGGCCTCATGTTTGGAGGTGCTGTACTTTATCTCAGCCACTTCACACTTGACTTCCCAGTGCATGTTGAAAGTCCTGGTTTGTTTGGAGCCAATAGGACAACATTGTCTGCAAACAGCAGAGAGGAAATCTTGTGGTCTCCAAACTATGATCCCCAACTACATTACTAAAGTATTTTCATTTTATTTCATTTACTATATTTTATTATTCATTCTATTTGTTTTTTGTTTGACATGGACAATGTCGCCAGACACATTTACCAAACTTAACTGATGTTATGCATGCAGACTTTAAGGCAGATGCTACTTTACAACGTTCTGTCCCTGTGGGCTTTTCTACAGTCACTTTAAAACCTTCATGAATACAATAATAAAAGTACAATGTCTCTCTTTCATTTTCTCACATACATACATCATATTTGACAGTATTTAACAGTCTGTCAAAACCATTGACAAAGAGTGGGTCTTAAGTCCATGTGCCCTTGTGTGAATGTACATGTAGAGCCTTCAACAGGGCTTTGGAGGCCGTGGTTTTAGATTCCTCGGCCAAAGGTAAGGCATGTGCATTCGTATGGGCTGAGGACAGAGACAAGGTACTACCAGCTTTGACAGCACTGAAAAAGACATACACATAACCACATGAGATAGGAGTTTGTATTAAAGTCATTGTGTCATTATCAAAGATGTCTTCAGATGTCTTGTTTCCAGTTTTGTGTTCCAGATGGAGACAGGAGTCCGCTGCATCTATCATGTCCTGGTGAGTCATCTTCAAATAAGTAGTGAACTTATGAATGAAAGGCTTTGTCTGCTCCCACAGTTCACAGATGGATGGAGCTGTCCATGGTATCAACCATACTCCTGCAGTGAAGCACCACTAGAAACCACCCTGATCCTGGCCCTACACAGTGAGAGGCCATTCTGACGCTGGACCAATGACATGGACACGTGTCTGGTGAGCTGGACTCTTTAGGGTCCATTTAGGACCCACAGTGGAATGCAGACATATTGTTACTTGCATGAATTAACTTGTTTTCATTACAGGAACTCAAGCTCAGTGTTGGAAAAGTTATGCTTTTCTACAACTACAATGACTGTTGTACTTCCAGCTCCAGCCACGTGTAGTCCAAAGAACACACATCCAAACATTCGTAAGTCAATATCGGAGATACAGAGTGTTCAGTGTTCATTAGAATGTAAGTGACACCAAACATGTATTTGACCAAATGTAGGATCTATTCTTGTGAGAGTGACCTGTGGATGCTGCTGTCCACTTCAGGGGAAGAAAGGAACAAGTGCGGCCACAAAGAGACCAGACTCATCCCACGTGAGAGGCCTTCAGTTTGTGTCATGCTGCTCTTCTGAACTGTGCTCTTAAAACACATTGGTTTTGTTCAGGGAGGAAACCTGAGGGAGGACTCCAGAAGACGGGGGATTTGCAACAAGATGACGTTACTATCATTCTCCTGTTTTATTGTGACGTGCAGGCGCTGAGGGAGCAGCGGCTACAGTCATATCATGAGCTTTGGAAAATGACCCAAAGGATAGCAGATACAAGGCTCGAGTCTAAGTGAGTTTGATTCTGACTAGAGCCGCTGCTCCTTCACATCCAAAAGAACCATTTGAGGTGAGGAGAGGAGTGGATTTGGCACAGTTCTGTTGCATACTCCAACCAGCAACAATACAGTCAATGCTCTTTTAGACTGCCCCTTTGTTGTCAGATGCAGTGGGGGCTCCACCAGCGCTCAGCACCAGAGAGCCACATCCCCTGCTCCTGACCACAGCCCACCAGTGTTCCAGTGTACATAAGATCAGAGCCATGTCTGGAGGAGAAGCTCCAACAGAGGTGAGAGTGAAGTACCACCAGCAAATCTGTATGAAGATTTACAACAACATTTCAACAATACCATTCTTTGTTTAATTGTGACTGCAGGCGCCGAGGAGCAGGTGGACCTGTGAACCTAACGGAGAAACTGACCAAAACAAATCTGCAAATGAGAGCGCCTGACTGGGACGGTGTGCAGTCGAGGGAGAAGCGGCTCCAATGAAACTCAGACCCTCTGATTACAAGGCCAGGGTTCTGGACCGGAGGCAGATGTCTTACCCTCTCCAGGTGGCTGAGAGCTCCTTCCTCCAGCGGTGGAGTTCAAGTGTCTCTGGTCTTGTTCACTGCGAGAGAAGGAGCAGCGTCTGCAGGGATGCTGCCTCTGTATGGGACTGTTGTGGTGAAGAGGGAGCTGAGTCTGGAGCTGGCCTGGAAACGCCTTAGTTCGTGTGAAGAGGGAAGTCTGAGCCACTCAGACTTCTGCCTCTGTGACCCGACCCAGGATAAAGTGGAAGAAATTGGATGGATGTTTCCAGATGAGCCCAGAACAAGTGACTGAGGGATGGAGAAAGCTCAACATAAGACTGCGCTGAATCAATCCAAATGTGGTCATAATAAAAACCAACAATGTCTAATTCAATTTTACTTTTATTTCTTATTTCAATAATCTTAAGTTTGTGTTGAAGTGCTGTGTTACTTACTTGTAAGCAAAAGAGAACAGTCACACACTATTTGATAATAATTGTTCCTGGAGCCTCCTAAAAACATTTTCTTTTCCACCAGATTGTGTAAAAATGATTGTTTTCCTTTACCTTCACTGACTTTTGATAAGTACTATAACTTTTGACTAGAACTTGACATAAACAAAAACAGGCCAATGCTGAAGACGAAAGACAAGTAAACAGTGTGTTGCAAACTACCATTTGCCTTTCTCTGATGGAAGATGAAGCTCAGTCCAGAACCAGTTCAGAATCAGAACCTTGAAAAGGGGGCTTTAAATGCCCTTTTAAGATTGTTTGTAAGCAACAGAAAATGGATGAATTTGAATTTTATTTAGGTTAAAAGATATAACTCTCCACATATCAAAAATTAAACATAGATTTATATAAAAGAAAATAATGACAAACACTGAGTGATTACACTTCCACAACTAAAAGCTGTTAAATTGACGGCTCTGGGAGTACTGCTGGTACACACAATACACACAATCATTGGGCTTATTCAATATCACCCTTAGTCTGTGTACAAGTCCCTCCATGATTTCACACCAAAGTACATCTGTGACATGTTAATGCCATATGAACAAGCTCTGAGGAGCACAGGGACTGGCCCCCTTCAACTATGCCGGAATTGGAAGAAAAGATATATAAATATATATTAAAGAACATAGACTTATTTATAGGGCAATATGATTCAAACAACAAGTTGATGAATCAGTATGTGATACACGTGATAGTTTTTTTCTTTTTTCTATGTACTTGTATTGTGGGCTTGTTTCCTCAACACACATTGTGGCCTATAGAGGGCGCCCCAAAGCACACTTTGGGGATCACTGGGCTAAAACCACAACCTTTCTTTATTTATTCAATAATCACGTTTAATAACCTGTGGGTGCGTCGTTGTCACGGAGACGTAAGTTGTATATATTCAAACTGCTGCACGCTCACTTCACTTGCTGTTGGTCTCTGACGCTTGTGTTAAACTGTGAACTCTCTTCGTCTCATTTGCGTTTGAGGATAAAGCGGTGGAATTAACACTGAGGCACTAATACACTGTGCATGTATCAGCGTCTTACAGGTTCATGAGCACAGTCACAGTTGACCTGTAGCTAAACATGGAGGCGCATTAGATGTTGCTGGAGACGCTGTACACAAGTTTAAATCTGAGTGTTCCTCAATGATGGTGGTAAGAGTGGTGCCTGTATACCGTCAGATGCACTGTAGTGCTAGAGAAGGCCCACTGAGCTCACTGGGATCAGCTAATACTGCACTAAGTCTAGATAATGTACTATATTTAATGTACAATAATAGTCCACTCAAATACTTTTTTTGAACAGAGAAAATGTCCTTGTTATCCAAACGCCTCTGGTGCTTTCCAGCTCTTTTGTCTTCATGATGAAGACAAAAATGTTTGATTGTGTTTGACTTGTGAATTTGACAAAGCAAGAGCACTTTTAGTGTGTGAGGAAGTTGATGTTGTCCATATGTTTCAGCGGTTCGGGACCCCCTGGACGCTCTGGAGGACCCTGACTTCTCGTCAGACGAGGAGGACGCAGGTGAGTTGCCAGTAGGTAGGTATTTTGTCGTCATGCGTGAGCGAGACTTGGAAGAGGCTTCTGATGAAGAGGATGAGGCTTCTGATGAAGAGGATGAGCTTTCTGATGAAGAGGATGAAGTAGACTCTGGCTACGACAGTCTCTCAGAGGAGGACGTCAGCGAAGAGGAAGACGAGGACACGGAGGCTGAAGAGGAAGACGAGGACACGGAGGGTGAAGAGGAAGATGAGGACACGGAGGGTGAGGAGGAAGACGAGGACACGGAGGGTGAGGAGGAAGACCCGCGTCTTTCTCCAGAGGCCTGCTCCTGTGGGACCCCCCTGGTCCAGCTGTGGAGGTTCCTCAGCCGCGGGCAGCGAGCAGCAAGCCCTCCTCCTGCGCCCTGTCCCGTCTTTGAAGAGGAGCGTCGTCCAGGGGGCTCCAGGCGCCACAGGGATGGAGATGAAGAGGAAGAGCCCATCTCCAAGAGGCCACGCTTCTCCTACTCTGAGGACATCGAGGAGGAGCCCACCCCCTCCACCTCTGCTGGGACGTCCGGGGGCTTCGTCCACTTCTTCCAGCAGCCCCCCCGGCTCCAAGACTCCGACTCTGACTGAAGCTCAGCCTGAGACTGGAGACAACAGCCCCTGGAGGAGAGGAGGAGAGAAGGCCACGCCTATTTCTACAGCACTGTGACACATGTGCAGAGGAGGTCACAAAGTGCTTCACATGGGACACACGCTCCACCATCAGCAGCCCATTTCTCCTCTGGACATTTATTTCTTTCTTGATTTATTTATTGGACAAAATGTTGCCATTAAGCCAAAAACAAAAACTAAAAAAAGATTCACCTAGCACAAGGGTTTTCAGCCTTTTGACAATTATGTGTATCCAACATAAACCTTGTATTCATTTGTATTGTATTCATTAGAACGCAAAAGGATGAATACTGAGTAGTTACAGTGATGAAAGACACTTGTAGATAAACCCTTTCAGAGGATACTTTGAAAGGCCTGGAGAGCCACTGGTCGCTCCGCACTATAGGTTTTAGACCCTTGTTCTAGTATCAGTGTTAGTTTGTTTCAAAAGAGGAGAAGGCAAAGTAAACTATGTAGGACTTCCATAAACTTCCTGAGCAGTCTCCAGAGCAGAAGCACATTGAGCATGAGCAGTAAGTCCACAGATGATCCTCATGTGAGCAGAGATCTTCAGCCTCACTCTGTCCTCCATAGCACTCCTTGCTTTCTCCTCTGGGGAGTCGCCCAATAACCAGCCCTTTGAACTTTATGTAAATAAAGTTTGTTGATTGATTTATTGATGGTTGCCGGTGCGATACCCACTGTTTTTATGTGCTTTTTTAAATCAAAGGAGAGGAATAGTATGTAGGAACGTATTAGACACAGATCAACTTTGACAGAAAAAGCCACTCTGTAAAATGACACAATGACTTGATTACATTTGAGAATGGATAAATAAGAGCTTACGCTGACTCTAGTGTGGTTTCCTGCATAGTACGCCTGGCCTTGTGTTCACTCTAGAGCAGGGATGCCCAAGCTGGGGCCCGTGGGCCACATCGGTCCCTCTGAGGGTCTAATATGGCCCATGAAGCGGTGGGGACGTTGGTCAAAACCAGTCTGACAATCTTTAAGGACAGTTAAGTCATTCCTTTCGGCGCAACGCATAATTATCTTTGGCCCTCTACCCGCCAATATAGTTTTAGCCGCAGATTGAACTTTGGCCGCCCCTGCTCTAGAGCTGAGGAGGATCAGCAGGAGAGGAGGTGGAGTGCCATCTACAGAGTTGGTGGTGTGATCCCTCCTCCTTCCAAAGATTCTGCTTTATCCGTTGCTGGGTTGTGAGGGCAACTGTCTAAACACAGACGCCCGGACCTCCCGATCCACACACACTTCCTCCAGCTCATCTAGGGGAATCCCGGGGGCTAGCTGAGAGACATAGTCCCTACAGTGTGTCTTGGGTCTTCCTCTGGGTCTCCTCCCAGTGGGACATGCTCTGAACACCTCCTCTGGGAGGCGTCCAGGAGGCATCTGAAACAGATGCCCGAGCCACCTCAACTGGCTCCTCTTGACGTGTAGAAGCAGCGGCTCTACTCTGAGCTCCTGCCGAGTGACTGAGCTCCTCTCCTCCTCTTTCTAAGGGAGGGACGCAGAGGCAACTCATTTCGACCACTTGTATCTGAGATCTCGCCCTTTCGGTCATAACCCAAATCTGGTGACCAGAGGTTTTCACGAGAAGCTCACTCGTGAACAAGACCCGGAGGTACTTGAACTACTCCACTGGAGGAAGGACCTCTGCACCTGGAGAGGCACCTTTTTCCTATCGAGCACCATGGCCTCATGTTTGGAGGTGCTGTACTTTATCTCAGCCACTTCACACTTGACTTCCCAGTGCATGTTGAAAGTCCTGGTTTGTTTGGAGCCAATAGGACAACATTGTCTGCAAACAGCAGAGAGGAAATCTTGTGGTCTCCAAACTATGATCCCCAACTACATTACTAAAGTATTTTCATTTTATTTCATTTACTTTATTTTATTATTCATTCTATTTGTTTTTTGTTTGACATGGACAATTTCGACAGGGCTTTGTCGGCCGTGGTTTTAGATTCCTCGGCCAAAGGTAAGGCATGTGCATTCGTTTGGGCTGAGGACAGAGACAAGGCACTGCCAGCTTTGACAGCACTGAAAAAGACATACACATCACCACATGAGATAGGAGTTTGTATTAAAGTCATTGTGTCATTATCAAAGATGTCTCCAGATGTCTTGTTTCCAGTTTTGTGTTCCAGATGGAGACAGGAGTCCGCTGCATCTATCATGTCCTGGTGAGTCATCTTCAAATAAGTAGTGAACTTATGAATGAAAGGCTCTGTCTGCTCCCACAGTTCACAGATGGATGGAGCTGTCCATGGTATCAACCATACTCCTGCAGTGAAGCACCGCTAGAGACCACCCTGATCCTGGCCCTACACAGTGAGAGGCCATTCTGACGCTGGACCAATGACATGGACACGTGTCTGGTGAGCTGGACTCTTTAGGGTCCATTTAGGACCCACAGTGGAATGCAGACATATTGTTACTTGCATGAATGAACTTGTTTTCATTACAGGACCTCAAGCTCAGTGTTGGAAAAGTTATGCTTTTCTACAACTACAATGACTGTTGTACTTCCAGCTCCAGCCACGTGTAGTCCAAAGAACACACATCCAAACGTTCGTAAGTCAATATCGGAGATACAGAGTGTTCAGTGTTCATTAGAATGTAAGTGACACCAAACATGTATTTGACCAAATGTAGGATCTATTCTTGTGAGAGTGACCTGTGGATGCTGCTGTCCACTTCAGGGGAAGAAAGGAACAAGTGCGGCCACAAAGAGACCAGACTCATCCCACGTGAGAGGCCTTCAGTTTGTGTCCTGCTGCTCTTCTGAACTGTGCTCTTAAAACACATTGGTTTTGTTCAGGGAGGAAACCTGAGGGAGGACTCCAGAATCCTACTTACGTGCCACTACTGCCATCTTCTGGCGCAAATTAACATAGCACCAGAAACGGGTAAATAGTACACAGCCAAAATTAAGAAACATTAGTAGTAAAATAAAAGGGTTAATTAAAATGAAAATTAATTGGGGGGTATCTTATTATACTTAAACAGTCCTGGGGGCCACATAATGCTCCAGCGGTTTTCCAAGCACTGGTGAATGATGTGCTCCGGGACATGCTCAATCGATTTGTATTCGTTTACCTGGACGATATATTGATATTTTCCAGGAATGCTGAGGAACATGTAGAACATGTCAGGTTGGTCCTTCAAAGACTGCTTGAAAACAAACTATTTGTGAAGGCGGAGAAATGTGAATTCCACGCTGCCTCAGTAAACTTTCTTGGGTTTGTCATTGAGCAGGGACACCTAAAACCGGATCCGGCTAAAGTAAGAGCTGTGGCTGAGTGGCCTAGACCGGAGACACGAAAGCAACTCCAGCGTTTTTTGGGATTTGCCAATTTCTACAGGAGATTCATCAAGGATTACAGTAGAAAAGCAGCCCCACTAACTCTGTTGACCTCCACATTGTTGCCCTTCCAGTGGTCTGGTGATGCTGACGCCTCCTTCTCCAAACTAAAAGAACTTTTTGTTACAGCCCCAGTCCTATCTCACCCAGATCCTTCCAGACAGTTCATTGTTGAAGTCGATGCCTCTGATTCCGGAGTGGGTGCTGTCCTTTCCCAGCGTTGTCCCAAAGATCAAAAGGTACATCCCTGTGCTTATTTCTCACGCAGGTTGACATCCGCTGAGGCCAATTATGATGTTGGTAACCGGGAACTACTGGCTGTTGTCTTGGCCCTGCAAGAATGGCACCACTGGTTGGAAGGAGCTGAGCAGCCGTTCATCGTGTGGACTGACCACAAGAATCTTTCCTGCCTCCATTCGGCCAAGAGATTGAACTCCCGCCAGGCAAGATGGGCGCTGTTTTTGGGGAGGTTTAATTTTGTTTTGACCTTTCGTCCAGGGTCCCGTAATATAAAACCTGATGCTCTGTCCCGTCAGTCCATTCAGGGGGAGCTGGATTCTCAACCGGGTCCCGTCCTTCCTCCCTCTTGTCTCAATATTAGTGCTGACAATGAAGCTAAGTCCTGTGCTTCGGCCTTGCTCCTTGGTGCTGTGGGGTGGGAAATTGAGAGGGTAGTGAAGGAGGCCCAGCGCACCAGTCCTGACCCTGGTAGTGGCCCTCCCAATCGCTTATTTGTACCAGATTCTGTTCGCTCCCAGGTGCTCCAGTGGGGGCACTCATCTAAATTAACCTGTCATCCTGGGAGTCATCGGACGCTGGCATTCCTCAGACAGAGATTTTGGTGGCCCTCTATGTCTCGTGACACACGTGCATTTGTTTCTGCTTGTACCGTTTGTAGCCGCAGCAAGTCCAGTCATCGGCCCTCTGCCGGTCTCCTCCGTCCACTACCTATCCCCAGCCGGCCTTGGTCACATATTGCGGTGGATTTTGTCACTGGCCTCCCCACATCAGACGGTAATACCACTATTCTGACTATTGTGGATCGTTTTTCTAAGGCTGTGCATTTTCTTCCCCTACCCAAATTACCTTCGTCATTGGAAACTGCTAAGATACTGGTGCAGCATGTTTTTCGTCTTCATGGTATCCCCATGGACATAGTCTCTGACCGGGGACCTCAGTTTTCCTCCCAGGTCTGGAAGGCTTTTTGTCAATCCCTCGGGGCTTCGGTCAGCCTTTCCTCTGGTTATCACCCTCAATCCAACGGGCAGACGGAAAGGGCTAACCAGGACCTGGAATCTGCGTTGCGATGTGTGACTGCCCGAAATCCAACTACTTGGAGCTCGTTTTTGCCCTGGGTGGAGTACGCCCATAACTCCTTGGTGACGTCTGCCACGGGTATGTCCCCTTTTATGGTCTCCTTGGGTTTTCAGCCCCCTCTTTTTCCTGACCAGGAGACTGAAGTTGCCGTGCCCTCGGTTCAGTTCCATCTGCGTCGCTGCCGCAGGATCTGGAGGGTGACCAGGGCGGCTCTCCGACGCACAGGTATCCGTAATCAGGAGATTGCCAACCGCCACCGTGTGGCTTCGCCTTCTTACCA